AACGTTGGGTTGGAGGTCGAAGGTGGATTTTTGGATTTGGGTGAGGGAGCAGCATCCCTGGAATCAAGTCCAGAGACACTAGTTAGAACGGTGCTTTTCGAAATATCTTTCTTTGGCTTCTTCTTCGAAGCAGTATTTAAGTTTCCTCCAGCCTTGGGATCTTCCCCAGTGGTGCTTGATTTCCGCTTCTTGGGAGTAGTATGAGGAAGCTTGTTGGTCTGAAAAGATTGTAAACAAAGAGTTAGATGCAAACCATAGAACATGAGTGAATTCGAAACATCAAGGCTAAGTGATTACCGTTGGAACTGGAACACTGGTTGTTGTTGGTATTATTGTTGTTGTTGTGGTTGCAGCAATAGTGGTTGTTTCGGGTGGAGTCACTTTGTCAGTAGTTTCGATGGAGGCTTGAGAGGCGCTCCCTTCTTTCGACTTCGAGGCAGCTGCCTTTATCCTGATGGCTGAAAATCGAAACAATTAAAGCAAAGGTTAAAGATATGGAAAATAAAAGACATTTGGGATTTTCCCAAGCATTCGCACATGTGCCTTGATCAGATTTAATTGACATGGCAGAAAGGTCGTATCGAAGGTGTCCTGGGAAATCATGAAGCCAGTATCGAGCCCATGTCACAGTCTCAGATGGCTTTGGTTTCCTTTGAAGATATTTGAACATCTCTTTGCAAGTAAATCACCAAGGATATGGGGGAAACCAAGCCAGAGCCAATTCTGAGGTAGGTAATCTGGGAAATTTAGGTGGATGCATTTCGAATGCCAACCTATACCTATCCTCAGGTGACAGCCCTGAAGGAAGTTTTAACTTAGAAACTTTTTGTTTAAATTTTTCCTTCAAGGTCTCAGCTGCTTGATGCACAGTGGAGTCCAAGCGCGTGGGATCATAAGTAGTTTCAAAATAATTTTGGAAAGCTTTAATCTCTTTGGCATGAGTAAACATACCTTTCTTTGTTGGTACCTGCACATCGAAGGCATCAATTAGTTTCTGTTGAATTGTAAGTGTATCGAACATATAAGTTTGATAAAACTTGGTCCACCATTCCAGAAATCCTTTAGCCGTGAGATGGGTAGGTTCGAAGGTTATCAGCTCAAATTGGGCAAAGCCTTGATATTGTTCTTGTTGTATTTTGGCTTCCCGTGCCTTGAAAGTTCGTCCAGAAGTGATGGCACTCTCAGTTTGGAATAAAGGTTCAGGAATCAGTTGGCATAAACCAAACTGCCTCGAAACGAAGTTTGGTTGGTAGGCAAAGAGAAAAATCTGGTTCTTGGCTGGGGTTATCCTTGAAGAAATGAGTCTAGGCAGCAAAAAAGCTCTCCATACATCCTGAATCTCCTTGCTCTTGATAGCTTCTGAGAGAGCCATGGTGAACCAAGAAGGTCCATGAGCCCTCGAAGCAAAAGGCGCCATGCTCTCTTCAAACTTGTGCCTTTTGGAGAATATCATGATGTACTTCGAGAATTGGACTTTGAAGTCATCCTTGTCGTCATTAGGAGTTAATCTTCGAAGCCTAGTGCCTTCGACTATCCTATCATTTATCTCAGAATCTTGCTCATCAATGGTGTTGGCGGTTGATAAGGAGGGTTCGAACATGGCATTTAGCCATAGTTGAAGTAACCAAAAAGGGCCGGCCAACAGAATATTTTTGGAGGTGTGGGATTTGAGGCTCGAAACAGCTGACCTTAGGCTTTCATAAAGGTCAACTAAGAGCAGTTCACTTAGGCACACTTTTCGATTTTCATGCAAGTCCCTAGCTAGAGGAATGAACCTACTAGCTACCTGTAGGGATCTACTGCAGAAAACGTATCTTGACAGCCACAGGGTTAAGAAAGCAATGTGCTCTACGTCAGATACATTGTCCCCCTCAGCATGGTAATGACTGATAAATTTGGAAAAACTGGCTAGCTTGACTTCGAAGTCAATTATGCTTGAGTGTTCTTCGTTATCGGGTATATAAGTTTCTCCCACTAGCGATAGCCCAGTGATGGCCGCTATGTCGAAGAAGGTTGGGGTGATCATTCCACCTGGGAGATGGAAAGTGTTATAGGTACTGTCCCAGAAATAGAGGGACGCGAATAGTAGAGGGTGGCTGTAGGTGAAACCAGGCTTCGATAGCTTAATCAGGTTATAGATACCTAATTCTTCCCATTGCTGGGATTTTTTAGCTTCTACTTGCTTGAACCAATTTTGATAAGCAACATCAGAGGTGGGGCAAGATCGAAATGGCTTAAAATTACTTTTTACATAATCCAAAATGAAGGGGTCCTTAGGAGGGACAGTGGGGTTTTCTATGGTATTTGAACTAGAGGATTCTACTGCCTTAGGGGCGTCCATTTTGTTAAATAAGGGTTTAAAACTATAACAAACTGGGAAAATCGTCCTGGTGTCTTTTAATATTTCAAAAACCGTAAGAGGGCCATTTAAAGCTAACCTCTTACCAGCAACGTTGGTAGGAATGAGTACCTGTGACGCATACAGCATTTCTTTTTCCTTTGAAATCATCTGAGGGGCAAGAACGGATTGACCTTGGTGAGTGATGATTTTACTTTCCATGGTAGCTCCTGCAGTTTTTCCTTTCTTCTTGGAGACTTTCTTGAGTTGGGATGAAGTAGAAGAAGACATTTTTGAAAGATGTTGAAAGCTTGAATTTTTTTGACGAGAGAAGGAGGATAAAAGATTTAGAGTGTGAAAAAAAAAGAAAAAGATTAAGTTGGTGATGTTTTATAATGGGGAAGTTTAAGCATCCACCGAATAAGGGTGTGATACGTGGAGATCATGGGTTAGTGTGATGAAGATGTGGCGTAAAGTTAACATGGGTAATAGGCATGATTTAAAGATAATCATTAGTTGTAACTGCACCATACTGTGAAGTGGCTCCAGGCGGTTAAGGAATCCAAAAGGTGCTATGATTGACGTGACTGGAGTCAAATGCATTAAATGTTACGATGATTCGAAAATCACATCAAAATCTTGTGTAGGTGTTGAAAATAGGTACTTCTCAGAGGAATCGAAATACATATTTTAAAGGGGCAATTTGTTGGCTGAAGATTTTGATAATGATATTAGAAGCCAAATGAATTAAACGTTTCGATCGAAATGAGGTAAAGAGCCATGTTTCGAAGTAGCAGAAGTAGTGTTTCGAATAAGCATGTCAAAGCTTGGAGCTTCGAGTGGCAATTATGGGAACATATCTAAAGAAGTCTCGAAATAACAACAAGGCTGTTGTCTGGGAAGAGCGTTCGAAACGGAGAAGTACCAAAGTATTTGAAATTCAAATGGAAGCGGGACATTCGAAGTTTGAAAGTTATGTGCTGGAGCATTTGGGGACACGTGGAAAGAAGAAAGAGGCATTGTCCTGCATGTTCTGAACGTGGCATAATCCTGTAGCAAGACCGTTATGGTCGAATTAGTATAAATAGGAGTCTTAGTATTAGGATTTCGGGTGTCATATCTATTATACAAAATACTCAGTAACATTCAAACTACCACATGGCAAGAGAAACGAATGCAAGAGAAATGTATGTATGATAGCACCGTGTATTTCTGATTTAATGAAAACTTTTTACCATTTCCAGCACTTTCCTTTATCTTTTTGTCAAATAACATTTACAAGTTTTCTCATTTACAGTCTTTTCACTTCGAAATCTCTTCTTTAAAGTTTTACATTTTAATGCTTTCTTCATATTTCAAGCACTTTATATTTCAGAAAACTGTCATATTTTCCATACATTTACCTTCAAGTCTTATCCTTCGAACGCATATTCTTACTTAAAAGTCATTTAAAGATTTCTTGCATTAAACGCTTTCTTCATATTTCAAACCTTTTACGTTCCAGAAATCCTTTATATTAACTGTTTTGTAATTCGAAAACCATTTACTTCACTTTTATGCAATTTTACATGTCTTTACAATTAGCATTTATTCATGTAACTTAGTTTCGTACACGCACATTTTGATTACATCTTTAGACTTTTAGAGAGAGAGAAATCGAAATAAGTCAAACACATATACAATATCAACCATGAATATTTGTTCGATCGTGAGAGTAACCTTAATATCCAAGGAGTCCTAGGATCAATCTAGTCGATCCTGTGAGTTACCAGAGGGATTAAATAACAGTCAGAAAGATTATTCGATAGTTTGGAAGACTAGCGGTTGTTTACCAGAAATCACTGGAAACAATAGGATGCTCGTCGATCATCACGGGTCAGTGGCAATTCGGAAGAGCAAATGGTTGTCATTGCCCGACAGGGGATAGTCGTGCGGGCGATTCGAATTATGGTCGGGTGGGCCCAACCCATGGAGATCTCTGGGACTGGACTCAATCAAACTGTCGGGCCAGTCCAGAATATTAACCATCACTATATTATATTTATTTATTATTTATAACGACATTGTATGACCCGTACGAACGACATAATAGATGATTATTTCATTATTTCATATATATTTTTTTATTAAAATATATTTTTTTGACGAGACGAAACTACTTGATTTACATATTTTTTATATATATATTTTAATTATAATTATATAATATTTATTTAAAATTTATATAACGATTTCGTTTACTTTACGAGTCTATATTAAAATTTTCATTTTGAATATGCTCATCATTAGAGAATGAAGTTTATAATCATTTCAAACCTTATCTTTATAATGAGACTTAATTTTATTTTCAATACTCATTTACCATTAAATTAAATTTAGTGCATTGAATAACCTCCATTAAAAAAAATCCTTTCTCTTTGAATGGTTAGGATGTGTTTCTTCCATGTATAAAATACACTACAACCGTACTTGTTCATCCCATTCCACCCAGACTCACTTTTGGATATTTCTCACCTTTGTGCAATTTTTCCTTTTCAGGACTACCATTTTTACCCACACTTAGTACATCAAAACACACTCTGTGATCCCTGAAACCATCAGTAATATTGCCGTTATCTTATCTTGTCACAGCCATTCAAACCAAAACTTGTACGGTTACAACTTACAACGACCCAGAGCCCCCACACAACACCACTGCATAATATCACAAGTTCATGGTTTTTTTCATTTTCGGATAAAAACACAAACACTGTTTTCTTACTGTTTATTTTCAAATTTTCTTCCCTGTGAACTTTCCTTGAGATTTTCAACCTTTTTTTCTGCCCCCACAATTCTCACACACCCTCTCACTTTTTCCGTACCTTCTGTCACTCAACTTGTGCGCTCCCTCATTCCTTCCACTGCATTTTTTTCTCTCTTGTCTTTGTTTTTCTTTTCTTCCCTTTTTTACTTCACACTTTCCTTCAAATTCTTCTCCCTTTCAAATTTCATTACTACTAGTTTTTGTTTTGTCTCTCTATTTCTAGTATTTATCAAGACGTGTCTATCGCTCTCCCTTTGCTTTCCACTTTCTCTTTATCCTCTTCTTAATTCCTTCCCCAAACGAATTTCTCTCTCTTTTCTTTTCTTCCCTTTTTCCCTCTCCACTTCTCATCACTTCAAATGCTAATAACCCCAAAAAACTGATACACCAAATCAAAACCTTAACATACCTTCATCCTCATTCTCAACAACATGACTCAGTCACTAACGAAAAAACACACTCACCGTATCAACCTTACCAAAGAAAACACTTCAAAACATCCATTTCCCAAAATAGTCACAATAACATACACAGACAAAGACGCTACTGACTCCTCCAGCGACGAAGAAGAATCTTCAAAACGTAACCGAACAAAAAAGTTTGTTAACGAGATTATCATAGAGCCATGCGGTGGCCGCGGTAGCGGCCACGGTGCCGTTGTTCCGAGGAAGAGAAACAGAACTTCCACCGGTGGAAAAACAAGAGCTCCGGCGACTCCGCGAGTTACCTCCGGGCAGAAATACAGAGGAGTTAGGCAGCGGCCGTGGGGAAAATGGGCGGCGGAGATAAGAGACCCGTCGCGTGGCGTGCGCGTGTGGCTTGGCACGTTTCAAACTGCTGAAGAAGCTGCTATTGTGTACGACAACGCGGCTATTAAGCTGCGTGGTCCCGACGCGCTAACTAATTTTATAACTCCACCCGCCACGTGTCAAGTAGTATCTCCCGAGATTGAAATTGAAAATCCTACTCAGTTACCGTTACCGGTGAGCGACGGTTACAACTCCGGTAATGAATCGCAATCTCAATCCCAAACTCAAACTCACAGCAGTAAAAGTTTATTTTCTCCTATTTCAGTTCTACAGTGTTGTTCATCTTCTGAAGAAGTAGCTGAATCCCTTACAACCGATAAAGAATCTGAATCACTGTTTTCAATTCCGAGTGATATACTATTTGATTTCCAAGGCTCTTCACCGGCCAACGATGACTTTAACAGCTTCAACACCTTGCCGGAGAACATGTTCTACGGCGATATCGATTCTTCGGAGCATTTCAATTTCGATTTCGATTTCGGTTTTGAAACTTTGCATATGCATAAGGATGAAGATTTTTTCCAGGATATTGACGATTTATTTGCTTCTGATGCTCTTGTTGCTCTTTAATTTTATGGATTAGTTATATAATTAACTATAATTAGTAGGACTCTCGTTGTTGTGTTGGCTTCTAATTAGTCTGCAAATTTTGTATCGGCGAGATATAACTATTGTATTAAGTTTAACTAATTTTTTTTCCTGTTTGTTGTTTTTCATATTTGCGCTGTAATACTACTACTACTACTGCATTAGTACAAGTAATTATTGTTCCGTCCTTTGAAGTTTTGAAATATTAGTTTTGTTTAATGTTTAATTACTATAATTATAGTTGTAATTTCTTGTTAACTTTGTTTTATTTTTATTTATTTATTCTTTATTTCCGCCGAGTCTTATTTAAAATTCTTCACTTCCAATAAAATCTGCCATAACTTTATTTAGGTAAAAAAATCTGCTACTATTATTTATTCATTTTTAAAGTTAGATAATTTTCATTTAGTATTAACGTTTCATTTCTAAAATCCAATATTTGTCACCAAGATGGGAAGCAATTTTATTTTGGCATTCAATTGAGGAGTGGCTAGTAAATATAGTTTGATAGTATGAAATAAAATATATCTGTATTATATAAATTGGACATTATGGTCGAGTACGACCTTTTCAAACAACAAGACCCACCAAATGAAATCGGTAGGATTAGGAGGTAGGAACAACCCCACCCCACTCACGTGATAGACTGAATAAGAGAATGAATACTTGTTGGCTCCAAAAAGTGGAGTATGTTATGTATGATTTGTAGATATTGAAGATATTAATAACATATCGTTGTCAAGCATGGTTAGCACAAACGGTTAATTATGGTTGACACAAACGGTTTTCATAGGTTATAAGTAAATTTTATAGTAGATTATCAAAGAAATTGATAGCTTTTTTTGATCTTTATTAATGCCGTGGCTTATTAAATCTAAATTTAAGTTTATCAAATAAAATATATAATATTGTTGTATTAGAGTAACCATATCTTATACTACTTTTGAAAGGCTTCTTAGCAAAGTTGGTTAGGTGATTAGGTAATTAGACAAGTTTGAAGATGTAACTAACTTCTGCTAGTGCTATCTTTTATAAATAGAAACTAATCGTCTCTCATCAATGTAATAAATTCATTCTACCAATACAAAAAAAAAAAAAAACTTATATCAACTCTCTCATATACATTCTAATTCATTCAATATGTTGGAATATACAAGAATTTTTTAATGTATAGATTAGGCAAGACGATTATCATATATGTTTAGGTAGGGAGATATGAAATCATATATTATCATAGGTCTTACTAATAATATAGGTGTTGCAAACTTGTGTTCTATTTCTGTAAAAAAAATATCGTTGTATCTTGCCAATGTGAGATTGGTCGATGCCCATTCTTAATGTTATTGACAAGGTTTATGATGATCTTCTATAAGTGATATGAGTGATTTTGGTGTATGAAACATATGTCTTTCCCACATATTCTCTTTTATACTAGCCTTCTTCGTAGAAAGGTGATTAATGTTTTTAAGTGTAATGAATGCCATTAAACTGTTTTATGAAGGATGTTCAAATGTCTAGGGACACCTCTTAATGATGAAGAGTCTTTGTGAGTAATGCTAGTTAATACACATTTATTGGTGTTACGCTGATGTCGATGTGGGTTTACTGATGATATTCTTTCGACCTCGCGTTCATAAAAATTTCTTCTCGGTCATCCCATATTACAAATTCTTGGGATGTACACTGGTTTGAATCGCCCCAACTATTGAAAGTGGGCCATGCCCCGCTTTGTTACGACCTGTACTATTCCGCCCATTTTTTGGGTGTACACAGTCTCCCAAGCGTGAGGCTTGAAAGGAAGAAGCACTTAAAGGTAATGTCATCTAGACCGTCGATGTCCGGGATATACATCAGAGAATTACACATTGTTTTATGATTAGGTCCAATTCTACGTGTTTTTTCCTTCCCGCCAATGAGGTATGCAAGAGCGAAGTGCTTAAGGATACCCATGTTGGGTTAATTCTATCACATGTAGTTGAACAAATTACTTAACTATATCCTGTCAATTCCCGAGATGTACATAGTCTCTCAAGCAAAAGGCCCGTAGGAGCAAGATGCTTAAGGAGAAAGTCACTCGGGGTTTGGATTACACAAGATCAAATTCTTGTTTTAATTTGTCTTGTCCAAGTTCTTCTTTTAGGGCAGAGGTAGTTTCTTAGTCGATGATCAAATAGGCCTATAACCACAATTGACCTTATTGTCTTAGAGAGAGCTCTTTTGACTTCGTCAGAGACTTCCTATAGCTTGGATTTTCTTTAGGGTATACTTCTTTTTACTATGAATCTCCTATTAAGGTTTACTTCTATTTATTTTGGATTTTTTTGCCCTATTTAGGGTATGCATTATGACCCTTGTATCTTGAATGTTTAAATTTTTCTATTTAATATTGTTCATGCAAAGAACATAATTTGCTAACATTACCGATGTTGGTCGGTCAGAGTAAAAAGAGAGTCACATTGGTGACTTTTCTATTGAATCATTTGTGTCCCATTTCTCATCTGAAGTGTGTCTCTTTATACAATGACTTCCTTCTGCCTGATACGAGACAAGGACCTTAAGTGTCATTAATTATCACATGGAGGACATGTTTGAATATCTTTGTAAATTTCCATAAGTGCATGTCTGTGGTTTTCCTGCTCATTGGCGATATATACCACATCATATCTGGGATATGAGTAATCTCCAAGTCTCCCGCCTATATTTTTCCCCACTTCCTGCAATATCCCACTCACTGACCGAGATGAAATACTCGGGTCGTCTTGTTACTATCCTACCTAATAACCGATATTTCAAATATGGAATGTACAAATAATATTGAGTTTCGGTGATAAATCTCAATCGCATAGCCTAGTAGGTCTCAATGTTGCATTTTTTGCAAGAATTTTTAATGGACATATTTTCTGTTCAATTGGTCCATATTTTATGCTCTTATGAGAGCTTTGAGTTTACGAGCGGAGCTCTTGAAAGCTCCGACTTTGGAGATCTTCTAAGATCCTTGAAGTTTAAGCACAAAGAGTTTGGTGAGCTGCAATGGCCGCCTCCTGTGGAGGACTTGAGTTAAATAACTCAGAGAGCGCAACGGGTTTCAACTGGCCTCCCCATGTGGAGAACTTGCGTTAAATAATTTCATAGAGAGCCCAATGGATTCACGTGGCCGCCCCCATGGAAGACCTGAGTTAAATAATTTCATAGAGAGCCCAATGGGTTCACGTGGCCGCACTTTATGGAGGACTTAGGTTAAATAATTTCATGAACAACTCAATTGGTTCATGTGGCCTCCCCCTATGGAGGACTTGGGTTTAATAATTTCAAGGAGAGCCTAATAGGTTCACGTGGTCGCCCTCTGTGGAGGACTTGGGTTAAATAATTTCACGAAGAGCCCAATTAGTTCACATGGTTGCCCCATGTGGAGGGCTTGGGTTAAATAACTACATAGAGAGCTCAATGGGTTCACGTGGTCGCCCGCTGTAGAAGACTTATGTTATATAATTTCAGAGACCCCAATGGGTTAACGTGGCCCCCTGTGGAAGACTTGGGTTAAATAATTTTATGGAGAGCCCAATGGGTTTACGTGACTGTCCCATGTGGAGGACTTAAGTTAAATAATTTCACAGAGAGCCCGATGGGTTCACGTGGCCTCCCATTATGGAGGAGTTGGGTTAAATAAATCGAAGAGCCTAGTGGGTTCTGGTGAATTCCTGCATAAATAATCATAGAGAGAAAAGAGGATTCAACATGAATTATTGAAACTATTAAATATAAATTGCCTAAAATTTTGTAACGAATAACGTATAAGTAAACACAAAAGTGCTAAAATTATTGGAACCATCAAAACAAGATGACAACCAATCTAGAAGGGGCGTGAGTAAAAGATATGTTAGTTTCTAACCTTCTGTTTTTTTATTTAGCACACTTAAAGTTGTTTTTATTTTTTATTTTTTGATTTATTTTTCAATTTTAACTTTATTATCCTTGATGCCGTTGTTGGCATCTTTTTGTTTAGTTTATGCGTAATGTAGGGCCAGAAGGTTTGCAGTTTGATCTAGAAAATTAAAAAACCGCAAGGTCAATGTGACCATATACTCGTTTTACTAATAAATGAGAGGAAAATATGGGTGTACCAATTACTCGCACTTTAGGAGATTTTAGGCGAGAGGCAGCCGTAGGAAAAATGGCCTAATGATTCCAACAAAAGGTTATTGGTATGATTATACTTAATATTTGATGATTATTATATCCTTCTACTTAATGTGAGGTATGCTCATGAGATTAAGATTTTTTTTTGTACAAAATCATGTTCGATGATTTAGACTATTGCACTACAACTGAACAAGGAATGTTCACAATTTTGCATGATGTATTGAATATGAATAAATGATCTAAAATGTGTGGGTTGTATATTTTAGATGGTTCCACTGATATTGATCATGCATCATTAGCTAGTGAAAAGTTTCATGACAAATCCAAGCTATAAAATTTGAGATTAGGACATGTTAGTGAAATGGTTTGGTTGAACTAGCAAAATAAGGTTTTCTAGGAAGTGAGAAATTGAATAAAATACAACTTTTGTGAGCATTGCGTTCTAGGAAAACAACATTGGATGAAGTTTGGGCGTGGTGTTCATAATTCTAGTAGATCGTTTGAGTATGTTCACTCGAATCTATAAGATCCGAAAAGAGTGGAAATCATTTTCCTCATTATTATTGATGTATATGTCTAAAATTTAAAGAATAAAAGTGACACATTTGAAGAGTCCAAGGAATGTCGTATTCATATAGGAAATCAATTGGGAACTAAATTGAACATTTCGAGAACTAACAAGGGCTTGGAGTTTGTTTCAGAGAAAGTTTAATGAGTTTTATAGGAAACACGGTATCAAGATGCATACAACTATTTCTAGAACACCTCAATAAAATGGCCTAACTAAACGCACTAATAAGACCATTCTGAAGAGTGTAAGGTTCATGTTTGCTTGGAGATGT